CAGCTACTTACCCCCCAATCATCGGTGAACGAAACTGTGGCAGCTACAACCAGTGTACGACCAGTACGCGGTTATTACAGCTGATAATGATGATGATGATGACAGGAATATTAAGGCTGTTCTCTTCTTGGAAACAGGCTTCCTGAAAGATAGTCCATCTCTCCTAACACAGACGACGAAACCGAACTATTTCGCGCACCTCTTGGAAGCAAACCTCTTCGGGATTCCTCTTTTAGGAAACACGGTGCGCACACACAAACGTTATGTTTATATCCCCCTGGAGCCTTCGGAGGCGAACAGTCCTCAGAAGATGGACTTTCATTTGACTTTTTAGTATGTTTCGTTAGTAACATTCCTTCAAGGAGAGACCACTCTTTGCTGACCCCTTCTAGAGAATACTAATTCCATTATTCGTCATATTATAACTATTCTAGCTACAAAGATCGACTCCATATTCCGACTATCTCCGCAAAAAAACTATTCGTTTTGTGCACATTTAAAATGCATTTATGGTTTATTTGTGCGATCAGTTAACGAGATAAAGTTGCTAATGACCACAATATGTCTGGTGACAAACTGTTGCATCCAATACTCAGTTGTTCCTCAAGACATTCGTCATCCGTGAACAAACAACAGCAGTCGTGTGCTGATATTCTGAGGTGCGATAAATCAGCCGAAGCTAATTTACCGGTTGATGTTCACCGGCCATCTAACCCTGGTCGAACGCTGATAACTCGATAAATTGGTTATTATCCAATTGATTGAGGAGAAAGGTTAGGCTCTTTACGTGATCACAGTTCAGTGTATGTATCGAACCTCCTATCAATACGTCCACATCCTACTAGTATTGTTCGTCTAGTAACTTTATTGCGTCAGGGGATATTGCCGCTCCTTACCTATGGAAAAATACACAACCAAGTTCCAATTCTCACTGGTTTACAAAGCAGTAAATCTAACAGCTTAGATAACCACAAAGTTCTCCTAAGTGGTCACAGGATTCGACTGAAAGACGATATTATGTGTTATCGTGCATGGGACTTTAAAGGACATGCACTCTACTCGAAAATCGTTCTCCCCTTATAGTCTTCTTAGAAAATCTGTTATTGGCTGCATTTTAATTGCCGACAGATCCTTTCGGTACAAACTAAGTACCGTAAGTGTCCAAGCTGGTTACACAATACTTAACTATTTGGGATCGTCTATACCAGATCCCAAAATGAACCTGGAAACTGCAACACATAGCTTATCAACTTGAAACATGAAAAACGCCCATCTAGAAAATGCCTGGTTTTGCATTACTAACCTTCATGTCCAGCAAGCTGAACCCATTGAGCAGGTTTGCACTGAACCGCTTGGTCCAAAGATAAGGATGGATCTGCATACTCGAAGCGCCATTTTCCAGGGAACTGTAACAGATGTGGGTGAAAGTTTTCATCTGGACGATGTTTGACACAACTGTACAAATTCGCTTTTTGATACATAAGAACCTGTGGGACACTATGGTTAACTCCAAGAAGTTAGGGCTTAAAAGGGAATAGAAGGTGAAAGTAAACAATCCAAAATTGCATTACTAATCACGAGGCACGGAAGCACGAACTCACAAACGGGATCAGTGACTTCATAAGCACTTCTCCGTTGACTTGAACTCGGTGGGAGTTTTCGGAGCCAAACTCTTGAGACTTTTTCCACCTGGTAAGTGAGGCAAGGCCGTGAGACGTGGTATCCGGATCCCTCGAAGGGGAGGCCCGAAAGAGATTAAGAAGCCAATGTAGATTTTTTGAAAGCTCATTAACACAAGCTAGAGGCATATCAGCCTCTTCAGTGTCTGTAGATTCCGCTGAATCGTTGGGTGTCGTCATTGGAACCGAATTTCCGAAATGGGGGATACTAACAATGGAGCTTGTTATCTTCCTGAGGGGCGACGCCAATGGCTGAGTTGTTGGACAGACTGATAACTTCGTGACCTCGAGAGTACCGAACGTGGCAAGATTCTTCAAAACGCGACAAGTGCATAGGTCTAGCTTGGGTCCTTGTGAGTCCAGTAAGGTAGACTCCATTGAACGCAATAAGGCCTGAATTTCAGGCAAGGATGCGATTCAATGCTAAAAGTGAGAATATCGATTAGGTGATAATTGTGCATAAATGTACGAAATGAAAAGGTAGCCACGCCAGCCTGTTAGTTTCATGTATTCCCGAAACACTAGCCTGGACTAACCGAGCGGAAAAGGTATGTTAAGAAATCGGAACGCTGAGGCAACAATCACTCAACCCAGATAAAGTCTCCAAAGTAACCCTTCGACACAATTTCCACTAACAAGGACAAGGCAGAAATCGTCCTGTTAGGTCACGTGACCTTAAAACATTATCCTGTAATCAAAGAGGCCCTGTAAAGCGAACGATCCTCTGGTAGCTACGCACGTGATCTTGCTAGCACAATCTATGGATTGTTATCAGCTTGTTACAATGCCCGTGATTTGTTTCTTCTGTAAACAATGAGCCTCAGGATACTCATACAACATGGTGAATAGACACAACACAACATTGTCCATTGTGTGGTCACCGTGAAAAAGTGGGAAAACTGTAGTCCTGTTGGTACTCGTTGGTAACGAATAGGCTCAGGACTAAGGCTGGCTGGTCACGGCGAAATCTCGTGTGGCTGTGGTGGTGTTGGTGTCCATCAAGTGTTAACATACAAAAGGGTCCCAGCAAAGCCAGAAAGATTAAGTGCGAACAAGTAAATCTCAAGGTAGTGATCGGCATAACTGAGACTTCTCAACTCCGGTATCATTCTCGTGGCTAATCGTTGGGTTCATTTCAACTATAAGTTCTGACCACTGTGGGAGTCTAAGTACGTCATTGGTCCAAACTTGATGATTGGTTGGTAGCAAGCGGTTTTGACACCGGTTGCTTGGTCCATACCAACCCATTGCTCCCATACCAACGGGTATCCATCAGCCACTGTCCAGGGATTGGGCAGCTATCTTTGTGTTGCTGCGAGTTACGAAAACTATACTCCAATATTCCGCCAGCCATCTGCTTAGAAAAGCCCCAGTAGTGGACCGCTATCCACTGCTAATCGGTGGTTAATTATACGGTACCCGTCTTGCGGAAAGCTGACTGTCCTGGCTTTCTTTCCTGAAGCAGAGTGAAGAGTTGTTAGGACACTGGACTAACTTCGACTGACAGTCTTGATCAAATGGTCTGACAAAGCTCTCACGTGTTAGCAACAAGTTATTAAGGTGGAATCCATGCCTCCCAGAGATCGAGAGGGTTAAAGCGCGAACTTACTGACCAGAAGGTCCGTGAAGTCTGAATTATTTCCGTCGCCACACACGTTCACTGAAGTCCTCCGATCATCGCCAACCTATCCTGCTGCATGAAAGTCCTGCTGCGAATCCAGAAAGTCAAGGGAAAGGGGCTAGCAGAAGAGATATTACAACAGTCACATGAACGCCAGGTACTGATTCGATGATATGGTGAGCATTGTGCACGGTGAACGCCATATCGAATACAATGCCAAGCACACGGTGCAAGTCGACTCCCAGGCACGGCTGCATCAGCTGACGGTACTTCAAGCAGCAGATCGTGGCCTCACAATTGAACGCGTCGCATAGAACACCGGACAAACTTGAATTACCCTTGAATTTGGGGGCACAGTCTGAACCATATGTACCAGATCCCAGATCCCTGACTACCTCAAAAGGGACTGACAAAAGAGTTGCAATACTGCTTGCGGTCAGGTGCTGATTTGGGGATATCGTGGGTGCTATAAGTGGTAGGCGCCGGCACTCATTTTGCATTCCCTGGCGAAACGTCACTGGTCGAGGACAATAAAAGACAAGGTCTGTTCTTTTTCGCTCTCGATTAGGCGGAATCCAAACGCTATGAGATAGAATTTATTATACATATTACAGTACATCTATTGAGAACTCTCATAGACGTCTCGCTAGCGGCCCATTAGCCCGGTAGGCCTTACACACCCCATATGTGGTATACACACAAAATATCCACTCTATATGCACCCACGGAGCACGTTTGAAAGACGCGGCTGGTCTTTCCTTCGGAATGATTAACCGGTATAGTGCTTGCTAATTCGCCTCCAAATGGTCACAAGGCGACATCGACATGCTCCCGTATCTCGGAGGGCTTATGAGTGGTAGTATACTTGTTCACCTGTGACACCCTTTCAGTGTCTAACTGCCATGCCACCAGGAGAAAGCACGAATACTGGGATACTGACAGGTTGCCAAATCCTGGAAGGGAAGTCAAGAAGCAGAGGTCCGGTTTGAACCACAAAACTTCGGGTCAGTAAATTCGAGCTCTAACCACTGAGCCACCTCACCCCTAGGCAGAGGTCATATCCAGTTCCCCCTTCGGTGGATGCATTGAATGTAACACTCCCTCATGGATCCAAAGTTTCAGGTTCGCACGCAATACTCGTGGCGCACTTCGAAACTCATAAGTCCACGAGAGCAGGAGAATCCTTTTACACAATTTATTTTCAGCTCCAGTGGCCTCAGATGAGTTATCCCATCAATCTTCTCTTTCTTGCAGGTACTATCTGGAGCCCAAGTCCACTTACTTCACAAAATTCAGCTCACACTGCTCACACTGTGTGGTGTCTCGACGACAACTCAGTGGTGAGAAGGCGAATTTATTGACCGGAAGGTCCGTGGTTCGAACTCGATCTCTTTATCTCGGCTTCCCTTATCTAGGCTTGGAGAACCTGGTAATATCCCAGCCCTCGTGCTCCCTTCGGATGGCATGGCAGCTGGGGACCGAAAGAGTGCTATAGCTTAACGATTTTTCTTTTGACGATCTGCTCGTCTGATTTGACCAGGTGTAAACCCACGACCGTTGGCTTCGGAAGGTAAGAGTCTTTTATTCAGTGAAAGCTAGGCAGTTTTCCTGCGAACGTCAGACCATCCGTTGGCGTGCTCATCAATCATATATTGACCATGACGGGTTTTGGAGCTCCTTGTCGTGCTTTCTCTCCATCGCAACCACAATGTAACCGTCAATTGATCACTGGGTAAAGTCTACTCAAGAGGCCTGCTTGCATTCAATGCGGAATGCGAAATCCGTCATGGGCGAGCTCCTCATCTGCTATACGTCTTGTGACTGCGTTTTCAGTTACCATCCTCTAAATAGATGGCCTTTTACGTCTTTTGGTCATTACACCCAAAACAGCAATAAAAGTGGATGTGCTGAGATCATACTCATCCATTTTCCCTACCAACGAAATAAATGCTACCACACTAACTCGAGTACGTCATGATTCTCTAACCTGACCAACACTGGCCAGGCATTTAGTTAGGTCGTGAGTCCTTCAGGATAACCAAGGGGTAGAGGGATCTATAATCGGATATCCCCCCTCACCACCCCTACTGGAACGCCGATCCTTTTCCGAATCTGTGAATTGCTCTGATTGTCAATGTGGACAGCAGTCATTTCATCGATCAAGGACTTTCCTTCCCATTTGTACCCCACATTAATTTCAGAAAGTTTACCCGATTAGGCATAGTACTCAACACTATCAGTCACCTAAAGAACGCTCAAGGGCAAGCAGGAGCAAAGATGGAATGAAAAACTAGTGTACTATAAGAATGGTAACCGTCCGTCCCGAAAAGGAACGAGCAAAAATAGTAATGTCCGTAGAACAGCTGGTGGCCATGAGGCATGACAGCCTCGTCCGATCCACAGCCGACCGAATTAGCAGCAAAAGGGAACACGACGATACGGGAATTGCAGGACAATTTGCCGTTGTACTATTCCACTCTCATAAGCCACAACCAGTTTAAGTAAGCGTATCACCCCTAGGCAGAAGTCATATCCAGTTCCCCCTTCGGTGGATGCATTGAATGTAACACTCCCTCATGGATCCAAAGTTTCAGGTTCGCACGCAATACTCGTGGCGCACTTCGAAACTCATAAGTCCACGAGAGCAGGAGAATCCTTTTACACAATTTATTTTCAGCTCCAGTGGCCTCAGATGAGTTATCCCATCAACGAGAGCAGGTCCTTTTACACAATTTATTTTCAGCTCCAGTGGCCTCAGATGAGTTATCCCATCATTCTCTTTCTTGCAGGTACTATCTGTCTGGCAAGTCCACTTACTTCACAAAATTCAGCTCACACTGCTCACACTGTGTGGTGTCTCGACGACAACTCAGTGGTGAGAAGGCGAATTTATTGACCGGAAGGTCCGTGGTTCGAACTCGATCTCTTTATCTCGGCTTCCCTTATCTAGGCTTGGAGAACCTGGTAATATCCCAGCCCTCGTGCTCCCTTCGGATGGCATGGCAGCTGGGGACCGAAAGAGTGCTATAGCTTAACGATTTTTCTTTTGACGATCTGCTCGTCTGATTTGACCAGGTGTAAACCCACGACCGTTGGCTTCGGAAGGTAAGAGTCTTTTATTCAGTGAAAGCTAGGCAGTTTTCCTGCGAACGTCAGACCATCCGTTGGCGTGCTCATCAATCATATATTGACCATGACGGGTTTTGGAGCTCCTTGTCGTGCTTTCTCTCCATCGCAACCACAATGTAACCGTCAATTGATCACTGGGTAAAGTCTACTCAAGAGGCCTGCTTGCATTCAATGCGGAATGCGAAATCCGTCATGGGCGAGCTCCTCATCTGCTATACGTCTTGTGACTGCGTTTTCAGTTACCATCCTCTAAATAGATGGCCTTTTACGTCTTTTGGTCATTACACCCAAAACAGCAATAAAAGTGGATGTGCTGAGATCATACTCATCCATTTTCCCTACCAACGAAATAAATGCTACCACACTAACTCGAGTACGTCATGATTCTCTAACCTGACCAACACTGGCCAGGCATTTAGTTAGGTCGTGAGTCCTTCAGGATAACCAAGGGGTAGAGGGATCTATAATCGGATATCCCCCCTCACCACCCCTACTGGAACGCCGATCCTTTTCCGAATCTGTGAATTGCTCTGATTGTCAATGTGGACAGCAGTCATTTCATCGATCAAGGACTTTCCTTCCCATTTGTACCCCACATTAATTTCAGAAAGTTTACCCGATTAGGCATAGTACTCAACACTATCAGTCACCTAAAGAACGCTCAAGGGCAAGCAGGAGCAAAGATGGAATGAAAAACTAGTGTACTATAAGAATGGTAACCGTCCGTCCCGAAAAGGAACGAGCAAAAATAGTAATGTCCGTAGAACAGCTGGTGGCCATGAGGCATGACAGCCTCGTCCGATCCACAGCCGACCGAATTAGCAGCAAAAGGGAACACGACGATACGGGAATTGCAGGACAATTTGCCGTTGTACTATTCCACTCTCATAAGCCACAACCAGTTTAAGTAAGCGTATCTTTGAAAGCGATTGAAACAAACAACTCCATGTGTGATTTGTTGGACACACCGCAGACGGTACTGGATTACGGATATAAACCTAAGCATCACAGCTGTCTACAAGGCACCAGCAATGCATACTGGCGCTTAATTACCTTACACTAATAGCACCTGTCTTCTTCTATCGTGACGTTGGTTGCTTTTATGCTCTCATTGGAGTTGATTGTCTAGACCAAAGTTCCTCGTAGCTTCACGGCGTATCGAGCATTTCGTAAGGTGCCCGCCTCGATGAAGCGGTGGAGCGATACGGCTCAAGTGGTTAGAGCGTGAATTTACTGACCGGAAGGTTCGTGGTTCGAACCCGACCCCTGCCTCTCCACTTCCCCTGCCTAGCCTTGGGCAATTTGGCAGTACCCCAGCCCCGTGCTTCCTTCTGGTGGCATGGCAGCTAGGCACCGAAAGGGTGCTACAGCTGAACTATCGTGGGTGCTATAAGTGGTAGGCGCCGGCACTCATTTTGCATTCCCTGGCGAAACGTCACTGGTCGAGGACAATAAAAGACAAGGTCTGTTCTTTTTCGCTCTCGATTAAGCGGAATCCAAACGCTATGAGATAGAATTTATTATACATATTACAGTACATCTATTGAGAACTCTCATAGACGTCTCGCTAGGGGCCCATTAGCCCGGTAGGCCTTACACACCCCATATGTGGTATACACACAAAATATCCACTCTATATGCACCCACGGAGCACGTTTGAAAGACGCGGCTGGTCTTTCCTTCGGAATGATTAACCGGTATAGTGCTTGCTAATTCGCCTCCAAATGGTCACAAGGCGACATCGACATGCTCCCGTATCTCGGAGGGCTTATGAGTGGTAGTATACTTGTTCACCTGTGACACCCTTTCAGTGTCTAACTGCCATGCCACCAGGAGAAAGCACGAATACTGGGATACTGACAGGTTGCCAAATCCTGGAAGGGAAGTCAAGAAGCAGAGGTCCGGTTTGAACCACAAAACTTCGGGTCAGTAAATTCGAGCTCTAACCACTGAGCCACCTCACCCCTAGGCAGAAGTCATATCCAGTTCCCCCTTCGGTGGATGCATTGAATGTAACACTCCCTCATGGATCCAAAGTTTCAGGTTCGCACGCAATACTCGTGGCGCACTTCGAAACTCATAAGTCCACGAGAGCAGGAGAATCCTTTTACACAATTTATTTTCAGCTCCAGTGGCCTCAGATGAGTTATCCCAATCTTCTCTTTCTTGCAGGTACTATCTGGAGCCCAAGTCCACTTACTTCACAAAATTCAGCCCACACTGCTCACACTGTGTGGTGTCTCGACGACAACTCAGTGGTGAGAAGGCGAATTTATTGACCGGAAGGTCCGTGGTTCGAACTCGATCTCTTTATCTCGGCTTCCCTTATCTAGGCTTGGAGAACCTGGTAATATCCCAGCCCTCGTGCTCCCTTCGGATGGCATGGCAGCTGGGGACCGAAAGAGTGCTATAGCTTAACGATTTTTCTTTTGACGATCTGCTCGTCTGATTTGACCAGGTGTAAACCCACGACCGTTGGCTTCGGAAGGTAAGAGTCTTTTATTCAGTGAAAGCTAGGCAGTTTTCCTGCGAACGTCAGACCATCCGTTGGCGTGCTCATCAATCATATATTGACCATGACGGGTTTTGGAGCTCCTTGTCGTGCTTTCTCTCCATCGCAACCACAATGTAACCGTCAATTGATCACTGGGTAAAGTCTACTCAAGAGGCCTGCTTGCATTCAATGCGGAATGCGAAATCCGTCATGGGCGAGCTCCTCATCTGCTATACGTCTTGTGACTGCGTTTTCAGTTACCATCCTCTAAATAGATGGCCTTTTACGTCTTTTGGTCATTACACCCAAAACAGCAATAAAAGTGGATGTGCTGAGATCATACTCATCCATTTTCCCTACCAACGAAATAAATGCTACCACACTAACTCGAGTACGTCATGATTCTCTAACCTGACCAACACTGGCCAGGCATTTAGTTAGGTCGTGAGTCCTTCAGGATAACCAAGGGGTAGAGGGATCTATAATCGGATATCCCCCCTCACCACCCCTACTGGAACGCCGATCCTTTTCCGAATCTGTGAATTGCTCTGATTGTCAATGTGGACAGCAGTCATTTCATCGATCAAGGACTTTCCTTCCCATTTGTACCCCACATTAATTTCAGAAAGTTTACCCGATTAGGCATAGTACTCAACACTATCAGTCACCTAAAGAACGCTCAAGGGCAAGCAGGAGCAAAGATGGAATGAAAAACTAGTGTACTATAAGAATGGTAACCGTTCGTCCCGAAAAGGAACGAGCAAAAATAGTAATGTCCGTAGAACAGCTGGTGGCCATGAGGCATGACAGCCTCGTCCGATCCACAGCCGACCGAATTAGCAGCAAAAGGGAACACGATACGGGAATTGCAGGACAATTTGCCGTTGTACTATTCCACTCTCATAAGCCACAACCAGTTTAAGTAAGCGTATCTTTGAAAGCGATTGAAACAAACAACTCCATGTGTGATTTGTTGGACACACCGCAGACGGTACTGGATTACGGATATAAACCTAAGCATCACAGCTGTCTACAAGGCACCAGCAATGCATACTGGCGCTTAATTACCTTACACTAATAGCACCTGTCTTCTTCTATCGTGACGTTGGTTGCTTTTATGCTCTCATTGGAGTTGATTGTCTAGACCAAGGTTCCTCGTAGCTTCACGGCGTATCGAGCATTTCGTAAGGTGCCCGCCTCGATGAAGCGGTGGAGCGATACGGCTCAAGTGGTTAGAGCGTGAATTTACTGACCGGAAGGTTCGTGGTTCGAACCCGACCCCTGCCTCTCCACTTCCCCTGCCTAGCCTTGGGCAATTTGGCAGTACCCCAGCCCCATGCTTCCTTCTGGTGGCATGGCAGCTAGGCACCGAAAGGGTGCTACAGCTGAACGAAAAAAATGGTAGGTGTAGTCGGGGTTCTCAAATAGGGCCACCAACAGATTCAGCTGGTAAAACTAGTACACGCTGTACAGTCGTTGCAGCTGCCATTTCCGTTCCGCTACGTACCGGGGATCGTTCGTTCGCTCAGCTGTAGCACCTTTTCGGTGCCTTTCAGCTGGTCTAGTACACGCTGTACAGTCGTTGCAGCTGCCATTTCCGTTCCGCTACGTACCGGGGATCGTTCGTTCGCTCAGCTGTAGGTAGCTTTCGGTGCCTAACTGCC